AGGAGTCAGTAATCCTGATGGATAAAAAGCGAAAGATCCCATTATGCCAGGACCAGCATGTGGACCGTTGGCACCTGCAACGTCAACACAGGAAAAGCCTCAAGAAAAATCGCGAAAACTAGTGGGACAAAATAGCTAGTCAAATGGAGGTAGCTTCTGCATCGGGGAATAGTCAAAGACTGTTTCATCTGATATGCTGCACCAGTGATCAGTGAAACCATTTGCGATAAAAGTGGACAGAGTATCCACAATAAAAACAACGAATTGATCTCTGGGCAGAGTATTTTGGCGAACAGTTCAATTGGCCCGGTGTTATTCCGGTCATTCCGGCAATTGCAGCGAAAATCCCATGCGTGGTAACGTGAGCCACCATCAGGATTGGAAGTACGAAGCTGTATTCAATCATTAAAGAAGGGGAAGGCTGCGGGACCTGATGTGCGTCTTCTTATTCTTTTCGAGCTGAGGGATGACTCTCGTTGATTCGATTTTCTTATTAGTGTGATGAACAGCAAACGGGATAAATCCCATGGTCACGAGGACCTGCTGTTCAGTGATGAGACCCGGTAACCCGGACTTGAAGTGGCGAACTACATTAGGCCCCGCTAGTTCAGACGTGATATGGAACTGGACGACAGCAAAGCTGCCTACCACCATAGTTGGCTGGCGGTGGCGGGGCTCGAACCTCAAATCATAGGGTCCAAAGCACGACGGTGACAGTAACTAAAGCACTGCACCACCACTAGTTTATTTCGCAGCATCTGGTCGGAAGAGCTTATCTCTTTATCCTGGGATGGGTCGTTGATCCCTTCGATCTTCAAGAGGGGATCACACAAGAACTGCGCAAACCACCGTGGTATAAGTTTACCTCCGATCATCACAAAAGCGTTGACTTCCGTCATACTTCATCGCCTAACGTCATTAAGGGAGAGGGATATCCGCGAACAGCAAGCAGGATTCTGATCAGGTCGCGGTTGTATCGATCAAATCTTCACCCCGCATCAAGTCCTCGATTTACGTCACACACCGTCGACCAACAACCACAGTATTCCTGCACCAAAATGTAGCCTTCGATTCACTTGGCCGCGAAACCTTGATGAGTTCGCTGCGATGTGGAAACCAGGTCTGAGGAAATGCACAACAATTAGGTTGAATAGGTATCTCTCGCCTCCCTGGTTGGGGTCCAAAAGACTAATTAGCTAGTTGGAGACACTAAAGGATATGGTAACTAACTGACAGTAGTGACCTTGTCATTTCTTATCAGGTCAGAATTCTCGAAAACGGTGTTTACACTCTGTGTTAACCATATAAGTTCACTTTCTTTACCTCCTCCCAATTAGGTCCAGTCCCTCTCTTGTACTTTATCACTTAATTTGTGTACATCGTGAAATTGGCAGCGATCAGCGAAGTTCGCTTCACTGTATTTCGCTGTTCGATGATGATGACGATGAGAATGATGACTGCCAAGTGAAAATTCGGTTAGGTTGCAGGCTTTTCTGGATACTTTGAGTGCTAGTGAAACCATGTTCAGTATCTGTTCTGCACCTCGAAATGTGAAATATTACAGGACTGAGTTGACCCAGTTCCCAACCTCTCTCTAACTGGGTAAGTAATAGAAGTAGACAAATTTTGCTATCTGGGCAGCTATATCTCACCTGGCAGACGCATCGCGGATGAAGTTTCAGCACGCATACAGAAGGCTCGATTGGTGTTTGCCAACTGGGGACTTCTCTGAAATCGTTGCGATATCTAATCATCCGCCAAGGGTCGAGAGAACACTGCAGATGTTTGATCAGTTCTGCTATACGGTTCAGAGACTTAACCATTGAGCGAACAGGATAAAGATACATTGCCGGTGTTAAAACGCCACTGTCTACGCAGCAGTGCACGAGTCTTGGGGGGGGGGAGGGGCAAGTAATGCTGAGATTAGGAATAGAGCTTGAGGTAATTGCGGTCACCCACTGCAGCAAGTGGTCGACCCCCATAGATGAAGTTGTTTGGGACTTATTGAGGATATCACCAAATAGGTTGCGGCGGCGGGCGTTGTTTGGCGAGGTAGGCATTAGGTGGGAAAAGGTCAAAGAGGATCAAATTAAAACCTGACATCAGGGTATGAAAACCGTAAGTGTACTCGGTCATATAAGCCGTCTAGACTTTCCTGGATGGGAATCTCGAGATCATCGTAACCGGTGACTAGGGACGCTGAGTGATATGGCTGGGTGTCACAAACAGTAGCGCCTATGCATCAGACTAGAATGCGTTAAATGGTGTGTGCGCACTTATGGACTGTGTACTCTCTAGCATTAATGACCACCGCTCCTCCCGTAGTTTCCCCCTAAATTCCGATCTGGGCTTTATCTCTGCTTGAAGCTGTCGCAACCATGTTCTGTTCAGTGCCAGTAGAACGTCCCTTATGTCCATTTCTTTTAAACACACATCTTTCTCCCTTTCGTTGAATTTCAACTCGAACATTCTCCGTTCTACAGAATCGTGCAACCTATTGGGTCTTTCCTCATCTTCTCTTTCATAGTCACCTTATATTTATCCACTTGTTCCCCGCGCTGCGTGCAAAATCGGCTTCTTCCGCGCCAGATGTTTCTTCATTCCCATTCACCTCTTTCTCGACAAAGCTCAGATTCGCCCTACATTTGAATATTGCAGTCATGTGTGGGGTGGAGCTTCGCCCACCTCTCTTTCTCTTCTTGGTCGGGTTCAACATAAAGCCATCCGTCTCATCAACGACCCGTCCCTAACATGCAACTTGCAATCACTAGCTCACCGTCGGGCAGTCGCTTCGTTATCCTTATTCTATCGATGACTTTGGATTTTGCTCTAATGAGCTTCTCTCGTTTGTTCTCGTAGATCCCGCGCACAGGTGGCTAGCCACCCAATTCAAGTGACTGTCCCAAAATGTCTTATTTCTAACTTTCAATCATCTTTTTTCCCAAGAACACAACTGTGGAACACTCCCCCTTTTGGTTTTTCCTCCAACGCACAGCATCATTGTTTTTAAACGCAGAATCAACAAGCTGGTTCTAGCTTGAATGTTCCCCATACCGTCCCACAGTATATCTTCGGATCATGGGGTTTACCCCTTTTACCGTATTCGCTTTCGTGTAATGAAAAAAATGTGTTAACAATAGAGGTTCGCTTTCTTTTCTTGCTCCCCCCTCCCCCCAAAAAGTATAGACATAACCCCTATCCACCTTATAAATTTTCGCTAACCTTGTGTGCATTATGAGTTTAGTAGCGATCAGTGAATTTTGCTCCACTGTATTCCGTTGTACGATAATGATGGCGATGATGCTCATGCATCTATTCATTATCCTTACAACCTTAGTCACTATGAATCATCTATGACCGTGCTCTCAATATTTCCACCTTTCTTCTACTTTGTTTTCCAAACGGGCAGTCTCAAGCCTGCAACCAAAACCACCACACCATGGTTAATAGTTGTAAAAGCTGAACTAAACTGATTCCACCAATAACCACATTACTGGCCCGTTTGCGTAATGTTAGTCCCAAGGAGTGCAATCGAGGGGATTATTATTATGTATTATTATTATTATCATGTACACAAATCAAGTGACAAAGCACAAGATGGAGAGGGATTGAGCCTACTTGGATGGAGGCAAAGAAAAAGAACCTCTATGTTCAACACAGAGCACACAATCCAAGTGTTCATGCATACCTTTTTTCAAGCATTCTGCCTTGTTAAGAAATGACAAGAACGCCACTGCTGTCGGTTAGTCACCATATACTTTAATGTCTCTAGCCAACCAGTTGTAGAATCTTTCGGACCTCAACCTGGAAGACGGGAGACGCCGATTCTACCTAATCGCTCTGTGCATTTCTTCATGCCTCGCTCCCACGTCACCTGTTGACCACCACGCGGTTTCTTTCAACCTGGAGCCGCAACTGCGAATAAGGCGCGGTGCGGCAGACGATGGATGGGCATGCGCAATACGTGTCCTAACCAGCGAAGCCGACTAATCTGAATTCGATGGGACAACGAATTCTCCATCGAATCATTACCGAATACTCGACGCCTCACCTCAGAGTTGCTTACAAGCTCGCTCCATCCAACCCGAGCCAAGACGACAAATATCTTCCACGCGCAAATTTAGGGCCTCGCAACCATAGAGCAGAACTGGCCGCACACTGGCGCAGTATACACGACCTTTCAGTTTCAACGAAACATCGCGTCTACACCAAAGGTGTTTCAATCCTGCGTAGCCGCTCGAGCCTTGGAAATATGGGCGGTTCATTGACTATGCTACCGTCAAGCGCTGTGTATACATGTTAAATGCGTTAATGTATAACCATTAACTGAAGTCTGTTAGAATGACTGATGGTTGCGTTTGCTTGTAACTGTAGCTATGATTCATGTTTCTCTTATAACTCTTGTGAAAAATTAGAACTTTCTCGTAGCCCCCTTACATATTTTACCATTCTCCTAACACCCCATGAACTCATTTTGAAAAGCTTTAAACTCAGGTTCCTCGTTAACTGCATTACTAGTGACTTAATTTTTATAGCCGAGTTGAGGTAATAGTGACCACGCCTTAGGTCTCTTTATCTGACCAGCTATAAAAATATAAAGCTGGCTTTTCTTTTGTGTCCGACGATTTTCGCACTCATGCACCTTTCAAAATGAAACCATGAGATTCACCCAACATTTGGAAGATGTACGGAGACGATGCTATAACATTGACAAACTTTCCGTCCTCCAAAGCCGCAGTAGTTCATCGTGATTGCATGTAATTTTCACTGTCAGTTTTTTTCGTGCAGTAAAACTATTCCACCCCAGCCGTGATGGGCGCATCTTTTTAATGATAATCGGTGTAAATTGGCCAGCTGCAATTCAAGTTGATACCGTTTTGTTAATTGAGCTAGACAGCTTTAGTTATCAGTCCGTAGTTTTACTTGACAGTTTTTCAAAGCGGATAGTTTCTCCGGTCGTTTGTAACTAATCCACTTATTTTCTTTTTTGTATGATTCAGTCTGGGACATACGGGCTCACGTACTCGTAGCCACAGTGCAGGAAGTGTTCCTCCGCAATCCACCTCGTTCACTTCGTCACCACCCCACCAGGCTGTAGCCGCAGAAGACTCGAACCCAATGGATAGTAGTGATGTAGCAACCCCACGCAAATCTGATCCCCTTCCCGCTCATCATGTGGTCAAATTCAAACCGTGTCTTGTGCTTCGACCTTCCAGTTCGTCCAGTCCCCGTTCTCCTATCGCACGGTTCTCTGGCCATCCAGCGTTTTCTTCGATCCTTGCAGATCAAGCTAGTGATTTGGTCACGAACGGTTGTTTGAGTGACCCTCTCCCATTCAGTACGGTGGCCAGTTCGGCACGCGTTTCGACGGCTGCCACCGCAGCGGCCGGGATTATGACAGCCACTAAATCCTCTTCTCTTAAACCTTGCCGTTCGGTGGGTCGTGCACATCGTGCCGGATTCTCTTCCCCACCACCACCACCACCACCGCCAGTATGCTTCCCTCCTGCGGTTGCTTTCGAACCGAGGCGACGTCATTCGTATATGGAACTGATGAAGAAACGTGCTAGCCAATCACGCAGCCCTCCACCGGC